AATAGCCCATCCATCCACTCACCTAAAAGTAAATTTTGGTTTGGCGAGCCCGAAAATAGATACAATGGACTAGAACATGAGTGAGGTAAACACGATTGAACATGAATGAATTGTTGTCTATGTAAGCCTGGTAGTTCACTCCCATATTTTTTTTATTGAAGTACAATGTTGCAAAGCGGGTCAGCAAAACAAGCTTATTGATACTATGCGTTGGGTTAAACGGACGTTTGATAACAGGCAACCAAAATCTGGCAATTAGCCAAGTACTGTTTCCATAAGGTGGATTTCCTAACCTAAATCCTCCGTCCATTTTGTTGGCGAATTGAGCCTAATTCTGATGAAAATTCCAATGATACACTAATGCGGAAGTCAGAAATGCGCACACAGTCAAGGCATACATTGTCGAGAGGTATCTCCAGCTTTATTGTTGAGGTTATTTTTCCTTAGGATTCTAAATGGAGCTGGGTCTATCCTGGACTAAACTAGGTCATGAAAGAACCTAACAGTATGTGACTAAATCCGACATATGCAGCCTGAATTTCGATACACGAGTTACTGGGTTGGCAACTCCTGGTTAGTCAAACTTCCTAGAGAAACTTTTGATAGTCCCAGCACACCTACTGGTTGTTTTTTTCCCAAAATTTTCAATGTTAAATGCTATCGTACTTCTCGCAGTTGTGCGAGAAGGAGATATTACAAGCACCAGTAAGTTGGCCACTTAGACCTCATGATAACACCAAAGCCTGAGGCTCTGCAAAATATTTTGTACCAGAGATAACACTTGAAACCAGACAATGCGCACATAAAACACCGGCCAAAGTAGCTCAGCTCGTTTAGTTTACGTAGGCCCCTGTCTTTTACCCACTTTTATAATGTGTGACTTGAATCAGTACACAAAACTCGCGAGCATTTTAAATGTTCGCAACGAAATTCTTTGCAGCAGTGTCTAAACTTGGGATGGATGGCAAGGGAAAGTTGAAGCAGCGTGGTAATTACTATTTTTTAAACCGAAATCATGGAGCTGAGTGATAATCTCTTTCAATCTGATAGCAGCCTTACAAGTTACCGAAAACGTGATATTTTGCCGAACTCAAAAGAATAGCTTCAACTGCCTAGTGGATAAATCCTGAACCCAAAGCAAGAGGGATCTATCTAGTTGATGGTTAGAGAGCCGAGTTAGTGACACTCTAGATCGATCATATGCTTGAATGTCGTCGGTATCTTCATGACTAGCACGTATTCAAGGGAACGAAACTTTCATGTAGCTTTGCAGGTAACTGCATTTTTGTACATACGTAAATGCTGACCTGCATAAAAATGTACCTGCAGTCACAGTGGATGTCAGTCCTCATAGGCAACCTACCCTGTAAGGTGGTATTGTCACACGTGTTTTCAGGTGAACAAATTTTTTCGGTTGCAGGAAGTGAACGCTTTACATCGTTTTCCAAACGTTGGTTGGTCCTAACTGAGATGTCATCCCCTTTGAATGCCAAATGAATAGGTACCCTTTCTGTTTCAGCTGCCAGACAAACACAATCTTCAAAACTAGGTGGCGTAAAATGCTTTTCGCTAATTGCATCGAGATGCCCGATTTGTCTTAGAGACTCTTATCTACTTTCGCCCAGAGTGCTTCCCAGTAGACTATTTCATGATGGCTCATTTTTAGCTAAATAGGACAATATTTTTCAGTTGTAGCATTTCCGCTCTAAGAATATTGGCAAAATGGAAAACCCCAACGTCCATGTGAAGATATTTGGTTGATACCTCCGTGGGTAGTTTCACCGAAAAATGTTATTCAGTGTCAGCATTTTGGGCAAGGTATCTGAAAAATAGTGTCATAAAAAATCAAGCAATCTGACCCCATTGAGTGAACCGATAAAAGTACTATTTTCTCCATTGTCACTCAGTACTGTCTGTATCTCCAATCTTCTGTTTTCTCCTGCTTGACTGAGACCAAATTAGCTCACACAGGAATAATCGCCCAATTCCGCGTGAGGTATATCTTTGCAAGGCTCAACTTCGCGTCAGCAAACCGTGTAGTGGCCGTAGGGGGGAATGCGGCACTCCTTAGACAATTTTGGTGTGACGGCACAACAATAGTCCTGTTTTGCGGAGAATAGTTGATCCGTAACCATTAGAAAAGCGGTACACAGTGAATGCTAACCATACCAGTCGTCTACAACAATAATTTTTAGGCCAAAATGACAGCTGTGTTAACATGGAACGTGGGTGTTCCAAGTATCACCAAAAACGCTTACGCAGACGATTTTATCCACCTAACTGTCACTACCACCAACCACCATTGGTCCTAGAACTAAGTTTAAAAAAATTAGTGAAAGGATCGTTTGCTTCTCAGTGATAATTTTACTAAAAGACGCCCTACCCTTTGCTAACAAATAAGAATAAAAAAACCATGATGACTTTAAGCGATGAATCGGCGTCATAAGAGGTATCTATAGCATTTTTGGAGAAGAAACCGGATATTTCTGTTTCTGGAGGATGTCCTTCTCAAGTACATAACAAAATACAGCAGTTCAGAAAGCTTTCTTGGTGGATGGCTACTCGCCTTGGGTACTCGTCAGCAAACATAATGCCAACATCACGTGTAGCTGGCTCTCTTGCCGGAGAGCATCCATCACGTGCTAACAGATTATTAGATATTGCAGCCGTATTATCGATTTCGCGGAGGATGAAATAAAGTACATCCAGTAGAAAATTAAATTCAAATCCGAATCACCTGGTGTTCAGTTGGTTTGATACACAGCCTAACGACACTTCAAAAAGTAAGTTGATAAGATTCTATTGTTCATGTTCACCATTTCTTCTGGAGAAAGTATCTAAAGGTCAACAAAGAAAGCTACTTCAGATATGCCTCTTTTCTCGGTAAACTCAAGAAGAAGCTTTATTCTGAATCAGACTGCTAACCTGCGAATTACGGGCCGACAACCTCATATGTTTGAAAAATAGTAATCTTTCGTCATAGGTCATCAAAAGTAAGAATATTCTTATTTGAGTAGCAATTTGGTTGGTAATGAACCTAACAGCCATCTGCAAACACTTCATATCGCAGCCGCAAACATATCCGCTAACTTAATGGAAAATTCATAGTAAATTAAGATCTGTTTGAACAAATGTGAGATTTTGCACATGAAGTTTAAAACATGTGTTTATCTAACAGAAATGATTTGTGAACTTTATAGCCCCCTGCTTCAGTGATGTATTGGATTCAACCACTCTGTTTGTTATTTAGTAGAACGGGCCTCTGCTTATATTTATATAAAATCGTTCAGCATACAAGATGCGTCAGCTCATCTGAGGGGCAGCCAATCTCACTTTTGTTTTCTGTTGTCAGTAGAATGAATTGCTGCCGGTTTAAAGTTGCTACGGTCTTAATGGACGATTCCATTTTAGATGGGATAATTATGGTCACTTTTCGGCTTGAATTAGTCTACTTCTATGTATGTTCTCATAAATCATGCACGTTGCAGCAGTTAATTCTGCTCCACAGACTACTAAAGTGTTCGTATCGATGTATCATCATGTTTCAGCGACATCTAACCCACTAATTAAATGCTACAACCGGAGCTACAAGTGAAGCTTTTTTGTCCCAGCAAGTTATTATCAGACGATGCTTCCATGTGTCAGAAGTTCTACGCAATGTTGGGAGTGTTTGGCCCGTCTGGCTTGATTTCCCACTGCTGTTCAGTATATAAATAAATACTGGCAAGACACCGTTTGCTTCACAACCATCAGTCGGAAACTAAGATCCTTAAAATGTAAGCTTGTGCGCCAATATCCTCAGTAACAAAGATGACTGATGTGACCAGGGAAATCTAATCCAGCATAAGTACGAACCCACACCAAATTGCAGCACGCAATAGATAGCTTGGCTTCTGATCACATTCCTACCAACTACCGGCCACCAACTTCATCGCCATCCCAGACTAACAAGACATGAACCCAGCCGAGGTCAACTTCAGGTTGTGCCTCCCTAAACTGTAAGCATAACCATTTAATCCATCTTTGTGTGCCAAAAAAACCTCGCACCCCAGTTATGAAATTTTCTGTGGAATAACATTTGAAGGTGATTTTTCTCCGGTTAGTATGTTTATGGTCCCCAATTTCCAAATCAAAATATTTTAACAGAAATCATTCCATTGTATCCATCCTAAGGCATAACATTTAGTAGAAGCTCAGACAACATGGTTTCGTTCGCCTACACTAGACGTTTATCCTGCACGACACACTTAGCCGCAGTATTTTATTTCAGGCGAGTTTCAATCACTAGAAAGTACAATCCAAGAGGTACGCTTATTTGCAAAACAATTTGGTTTTCACGAGAGACTCAACTGAATCTCTCGTTTATGAGATTCTACAACTGAATGTGCTGCACACAGGCCGCCTCATGCTTCATTTGGCAAGATATTCGAGATATCGGTGGTCTGTGTGCAGCACATTCAGTTGAAGGATATCACGAACGAGAGATTCAGTTAATTCTCTGGTGAAAACCAAATTGATTTGCAAATGAGTGTATTTCTCGAAAACAGTCCAATTTGGGTTCAAGTGGAACATAAGGTTGACGGAAACCTGGGGACTGCGTCTACCTGATGAGTCCCAAGAAGGGCGAAATCGGTCGCTGGCTGTCGAGGAATTTTCAGCAACCTTGTGGGTAGTTACCTTTATGAGAATGCAGTACAAGAGAATCTCTCGGTCAAGAGTATGTCTAAACAGTAGTGTTACTGGTAACAAACTTTTAGCTTCGAATTTGCCTTGTAGCAGAAGTTGAGAAATACAACCTTCACAACTTCTACAGCATTTGATTTGACCCGCCATTAATTCCTCCCCATTTAAGGAAAATCGGATCATTCTCCTTGTAGACACCAAATCAAGAAATTCCGGTGCAACGTCACCTCTGGAATAAGTGAATTCGACCGTACTCCAAAACAAAAAAAATTGAGTTGCGGTTTTTTGCCGGCGTACGGACGCGGAGTGCTCCCAACATGAACTCAAATACAACCCGCGCACGAAGCTCGACGAACCTCTGCCCCTCCAGACGCTCAGCAATGAGGCGAGAAAATACGACTGAATTGACCAAAACCAGACCATGTGGAACGGATCTCCCAAGATACCATGTCTTCAGTCAGGTGGACAGCTATTACAATAGCGCGAGGTTGGTCAGTTTTCTGAAACTCCTAACTTATTTATACTCCTCACATCTACGTTATTTTCTCCCGAGGGATGTTCAGGTGTTCTGTGTAATATACGTCCCAAAATAGTTCCCTCGTCCACTATTACTTGCACCTAAATTATTCGTTGTAGTTTCCCATCAAAAAGAGTAATACTATCGAATTGAGGATGTCAGAGAGAAATAAAGAATTTTACACATATCTGAATAAGTCTCTCTCTAAACTGGCCAACAGTTCACACACTGAACTTTGACATACACAGAACCTAAAACGCTTAGACTTTGTAAGCTGTGAAGTATGTGTCCAAAATTCCCATTAAATTAGCATATTTCCTTAGCTTGTATGTTAATATTTGTAGTTATGAAGAAGACCTGCGTGCTCTCAAGTGGTCAGATTTCTTGACATCTTTGCACATATTGGCTAATTGGGCGAGGTGGCTCAGTGGTTAGAGCTCGAATTTACTGACCGAGAGGTCCGCGGTTCGAATCCGACCTCTGCCTGTCGACTTCCTCTGTCTAGGCTTGGGCAACCGGGCAGTATTCCAGCCCTCGCGTTTCCTTGGGGTGGTATGGCAGCTAGACACCAAAAAGATGCTATGGCTGGAGGAAAAACACACGAGCTAATCCAAGAAATCGCTTTAAATCATATTCATGTTGCGGTCAGTAGCTGTGGAATATTGCGGAGAGCGATTAAAACTGTGAACGAGAAGGACGCGCTACCGATCTCACATTCACTTCAGAGTACCAATCAGTACCAGCAGAACGCATTGACTGGTCATATTCTTCCCCAAACTTGTTCCTCTGAAGTGGCAAGGTCAGCGCTATTTTTAGTGCTAATAACGCAATCTACTATGTTTACCTGAAAGCATCGTCTTACAGGATACCCTGGCACAAAATAGCGCTGTTTAGTGCCTCCAAAACGACCCAACACCTGCACCCATGATTTGAATGTACGCTGCATTATTCATAAGTAGTGTTATCGGTCGGTCGGTTGCAGAAAAGAAAGGCAATCACTTTCCTATAATGAATTCAGATTTGTTTCTGAACTGGTAATGTGTGCGGATAGACGTCCGTTAACACAGTGATGCATGGTCGCTCAGCGACGAACTGGGACGCCACGTCGATTGGTGAATAAAAGTTTGTAATCATAGTTCCGAAAAAAACCTATGACGATCTTTGAAGAATGGACTACCAACATTCTCTCCAACAGTAGAGCTTCAAAACTTTAGCTTTAGGGGGGAAAAGCTTCCATAATTAGCTTAACGAGTGTTCTGGCAATCTAAGAGGAGTTTTGATGTAAACTCCTACTCCCTGTGATGGAACCTTGGAGAAGTGGGTTGGAATGACCAAAGCAAAAACATCGGTTTCTAAATTTAGTTCTTAAGCTGCATATTCCGGGCCTGAAAGGTCCTCCACTGAATGGTAAAGATCACTTACAGCTACGCATATCGCACTGTTCTGCCTCGCGAGCATAACTGAGACAACCACGCACCCAAAAGTGGATCCACTTTTTCATTGTTGTCTTCTTCATCAAAGGCTCGGAGGATAGTCAGAATGGTTGTTAGATAGCATCGGTGCTTCCGCGAAGTTGATAGACCTCCTTGCTCAAGTTAAATGCTTAGATGGTTCTTGTTCTGCTCACTTAGGTAGTAATGGAATCGAAGTTAAGTGATCTGGGCGTTAATGGTACGTTTGAAAGCGATATAGTGTTTGGACGGAGGCGCGTTTCGAAAGCTGCGTCAAGTCAAGCCAAGATAAAAGAGGTTTTGAACGCCCGATGATGAAGATTCAGCATACTAAACCCTTGCGGTGTCAAGTAATTGTGCATGAAACTTTTAAACAGATAGACAGACAAATTTTGGGACCAAGTACGGTTAGCAAGTACAAAACCCCACTTCCGGAACTTTCATCACCATGACCCAATCAATGAGGTATCAGGCTATGGCCTAAGGGAAAATATTTTGAGTTTGGACCGTGTTCATTAAGAAGAACTGGTGTTAGACAAGCCTGGTGCGTATCCGAAAACCTCTGAGTAAGATTTTCCTGTTCTGTGACTATAAAATCAATAAAGGCAGTACATATGTGCTCGCTGTTAGTTCACACACTGATGTAGATAACCTTCTCAAGGTGTCCCCGGAATACAGAGAGAAAACAAAAACAAAAAAATCCAACACGGAAAGATGATATGGCTGTTAACCCAATCATAAGAAGGACATCCTCAAACTGAGCGTGTAAAGGGCTAGATGTCCAAATTTGGCAAAGACCGATTCAACATGTGGAAATCAGCCGGGATTTCTTAAAAGGTTTAACTCAACAACCAACGTGTGTCTACACGTTTGAAGGTTAATGATGAATTTAGACATATTTGGCTTTATCGAACATGCACTCTTCACATAAAAAACTTACTTTTACAAAATGCTTGCTTGCTCCAGAGGACGGTTGTATCCTCGGTACAGTGAAGAGAGTTGGAATTTGGATACGGAAGTTGCAACCGCCAACGCAACTCAGGAACGCGTTGAGGCTGAAAATACCCGGATACAGGCTTGGAAAACGATCCAAGATGCTGAGAAGCAGACACGAGAACAGCAAAAGTTGACTACAGATAGACTTAGTAAGTCAACAACATCATGAAAAATTGTCTTGTTGCCAAGGCAACCATGCGCGTGCAAACAAGTGACTTTTTGGTCAGTAACTATGCAGACGCAAACGATTTGGCCAGTACCCATAAAAGATCGATTTAGTTCATATTTCATATTTAACCTGAAAAACTGGACGAGGACTTCAACTCAGGACAAAAAACACTTCGATGTATTCACAGAATTTATTAGACTAGGCCACAAAAGGTATTCGAAGAGCATGCAGTTTTCATAAAGGAAACTACTCACAAGGTTGATGAAAACTCCTCGACAACCAACGAGCGGTTTCGCCCTTCTTGGAGCTCATCAAGTAGACGCAGTCCCCAAGTTTCCGTCAACCTTATGTTCTACTTGAACCCAAATTGGAATGTTTGCGAGAAATACACTAATTTGCAAATCGATTTGGTTTTCACAAGAGACTCAACCGAATCTCTCGTTTATGATATTCTACAACTGAATGTCCTGCACACAGGCCGCATCATGCTTCATTTGGCACGATATTCGGGATATCGCAATATATATTTCATGAAGGAAACTAGTCACAAGGTTGCTGAAACATGCAGTTTTGATATTTCTTACAATGCTTATTCTGCAACCATTCAAATAAGCCCCAGTAAAGTAGTATAATAACATCCGATAAACGATGAGTTGATGTTATTGGTCGACGCAGATAAACAGCTACTGAAGTGCCATCTGCCAGATAATTTTGGGGCACGAACAAAACAGGGAAGATTGTGGTATGTACAACGTTGATGATGGGCGTTCCCTTAGCTAACAAAGTGTTTGCACTAACATACGACAGTGTCACAGCGCCTGACGACAATCACTTCGGCTGCCAAGATAATTTTGTATTTATTGAGATAGATTCGACTGCGATTAAAACTACGTCAAGAATGCTTCACTGGGATTTATGGTGTGGTGTGTCAGCCAATGGCTGACATCGTTTTAGCGATGTCAGGTTAGCACTTCTCAGTCTAGACAGTCATAGTTTTTTATCCCCTGGCTTGGAAGCCTTTTCTCACGTCTAACATATACTGTCGCACGGACACACGAGTAGGAATGTGTCAACATGTTTTGGGCGTGGTTAGTCATTTGATTCTCACACCAAAGGACGGCAAACTGGATATCGTGAACCAGCAGCGAAGGATAGATGCATGAACATCCTACCAGTGATTTTGCTGACTGCGCAGCTTTAGCTAGCAAATATTCAGAACGTCTTTGGATGGACTATGGAGAATGTTTTTACACTCAGCCCCGGCACCCTGAAGTTTTGATGAACCCTCTAAAAATCCATATTTCCCAGGGGTATTCTCTGTTTGAATGAGCTCCTTCTGTGCAGCGTCCTAAGAGGTGCAGTTTGGAGACAATGTGGTAGATGATAAGTTCTACTTCAGGGGGAAAAAGGCCAAACCTCACTAACAAAGTGACATTTTCCTGCATCTTGCCCCGTGCTGCAGTAGTGTTCAGTATGTTGCTGCTCATAATTCGCATATACGAAGACTTCCCCTTTATAATCATCTAGCATCACTGATTTCAGTAATAAAATGTTGTATTCTGAAAGCCTGTAGTGGTTCATTTTTTCCTCTATATCTAAGTAGCTTGTTTCTTCAGGAGAAACGCCATTCAGCAGCTCATAAAATGAAATAGGATACTGTTAGCATGTAGGCCACAGTATAATTTACTTCGTGTTCACAGTGAAAACGCAAAGAACTTAACTGTTCCTTGACGGTGAACTCCTTGCTTGGTTGCTGGGAAGTGCTACGACAACCCATGAACGATTTCGCCTTCTCTGGACTAATCAGCAGTGCTGCGTCAAGAAAATTTACTGAAAAGCCTCGAATATGGTACCAGCTAAAACCTGCAGCAGAATTTGTTTGGCACTTCCAGTTGGAAGATACCACATCCAAGAGATTCAGTTGAGCCTTTTGTTGAAACTCAGTTGGCGTGCAAATGAATGCATTTTTTGAAACCTAACTTTGCTCACGAAGACAAGATGCACAGCCACAAAAAATGTTCTAGGGGGGAGAATCTGGCCCTGTTTGCTTTGCCTTTGTGATTGTCTGCTGGAACAATGCCTACAGTTAGTGGAAAGCAAGCCCTATCCGATATTGTACGTTATATTACAGATTATTCAAAATGTGATAGTTTAGGGACTGCGTAGTAAATCTACTTCGCTATATGCTTCTAATTGCAAACATTTTACGTGTTCTGTTTTCTAGAATCTGGTTACAGGTTGTGGAATCAAAAATAAAGTCGTTAAATGTAAATTCATCATTTTGAAGAGAGCATATATGTGGAACACAGCTGTTCCTTCAGCGGAAGGTTCGATATGCAACTCCCAAGAGGAGTAAGGAAATACCAAGCTGATGTAAAGGTAATTCTGCACACTTCTTGCACTCAAACAAATAACAGGTTCGTGAACTCTGTTTACGTGAAGCATAATCAGCACCAATATTTTATTGTGTCAGAAACTTGCACACAGCAGTATACATCCGAATGTCTCGATGTTTTATATCCTGTGAAAGATCGCCCGCGGTTTAAGAGAGCCGTCACCACTTTTTTGTGAAATCGAACTACTGAAAAACAGTGGTAGTAGTTAGGAGAACTCATGAAAGTATATAATTTTCGCCCGGACCATTGCGGTCGGTCCAAAAGAAAACAGAAGCGACATATTTTAGGTGTGAACCCGATTCGGCCAGGATTTCAGACCCTGCGCACTACGCGGACTTGAAATCTCTTCATCTGATATTCAAAACGGATACCGATGACTGCCAGTTTACCAAGTCCCTCTAGACGTTCCTGAATCCTCCCCCTGAACAGATGACAAATTGTACACTCAGTTGATTTTCTAGTATGCCTGCTAGTCATTCAATGAATTTCAAATCTGTTCTATTTCTCCAGGCAACTCTTCCATACACTCGGATGTAATCCAAGAGAACAGACTGAACGAAGTTAGGTTGCACCTTCCCGGGACAAATCAGATGCGTTGCGTGTGCTGGATAACTGGGACGACTTGTTGTTTGTTGTCAAATTAGATCTTGTGGGTTAGGAATAGAAATACCTCAATCATAGTCACATGAACGCATCTGGAAGTCTTATACGTTTGGATTATATTTGAGTGATATGAGAACACTCGTGCTGTAATCTTGTGAACTCTATGGTATGGACTATCCATCATGTCAAATGTTGCAACCGTGCAAGTGATCCTACGGTCCGTGATATAAGCCAGTGTGTGATCATACTGGTCCCTTTTGTTGACGTAACGATTCCAAATCGGGGAGAAAAACTGTCTTCTGAATTGGTCTGGAGACGAACTAATTTTCTTACAGGTTGGTCTCTTGACAAAGAGTTTGTTGATTAACTAAGGTGCCCTTGTACATTTCGTGCTATCTAGTACAGCACTACACCTCGAAAAATAGAACTGGCGGAGAAAGCCCGGTCTAACATTAAGCAATGTGAAAAAACCCTATCTTATGGCAGCCTTAAAGGTTGAAGCCTTGCGCGATATTTCATATTTACTTTGCTGGGTTTCCTCGAATTGGTGAGTGACTTACACGCTATGGATCAGCCCAAGTTTGCACTAACTCGATGCTAAATCAGTGCACATTTCTGGTACGGATTTTAGCCCTTCCTGAACCTCACTTCTGTTGCATGCAATTAGTTAGAGTGAATATTTGCGAGCAAACTTATCGAAGATTTTTTGCAAAAAGGAGGAGCAACCAGGTGGGCAATGTGCTATGTATCAGTTTGTAGAAAAGATTATTCACATATTCAAATCTCTTAGAAACAATATATCTTTTGACCCAACGTATACGCCATCAGTTTTCAATAAGCACTACTTCAGTGAAATCCCATTACGAGTAATGTATCTCCGTCTCCTGAAATCTACCCCGAAGTTATTTGAGCTGCAACTATTCTTACTTGCTACCTATCAAGGCCTCAAGGATTTTCCGCTCAACTCAAAGCGTGACAACACTCATTGGAGTGCTCGACCCCCATTGAGGTACTAGATATTCCTCCACCGACACGCATTCTCCATATATTGCATGGTGGTAGAGAGATTGAACGGGTGAAACTGTATGGATTTGATATTCTTTCAACTTAGGTACACAAATGATGGTGTTTAACCTACTACCTCAAGTGACCTCATCGTTATGGAAAGCCAGAGTGATTCCGATGGCAGCTACAGTACACGTAATACTCATGGTATATACAAAGGGGAAAGATGAGCACACATTTACTTGAAAGATTTATCTTAATTTCCATATCATCATGTAAGCAATGGGAATAGAAATGTCACCGCAAGAATTACCGTCCTTCACTATAGAAGTGGGATTTTAGTCAAAATGAGGAAGTGGCATCAGAATGATACAGCAAGTGGATAAGCCCAAACAAATAAAAGCCTTCAAATTGGTGGAAGTTCCTCCGATGTTTGTGATATCAACTCTAAGCGCTTTTCAAAAAGTCAAGGAATTTGTACTTCGGGTGACTGCTGAACGATTAGTTTGGTGTGCCGCTTTTGTTCAGAGCATGGGTAAGACTTACAAAAAGATTTATCAGCCTGGTGATTCAAGTCAAGGACTGTGTGTGGCGATTGCATTGCAGGGTCGAAAAACAGGGATGATATAATCTTGTAAAGACAGAGCTATACGCTTTGACATCTCTGTAATAAGTGTCGTAGACAAATCTCCATACTTGCTTACGGGTTTCTCTCCTGTCAGAAATCTCTAATTCTCTAAGTGGAAAATATTAACCGGACAGCAAAGTTTCCAGGAGTGTGCACCAGTTGAATGATGCGATGAAGAAAAACGGAGACTACAGTATAGTTAATTCACTTTGAACTTATCGATCGTTTCAGAAGAGCTTGGTAAACAGGTTGGCAAATTATTCGTAGCTTATTTTATCAGCCCAATCTATGTTACTCAGGCCTTCAGGCAACTAATCCTGAGTTTCTGTATGCATGAAGCATCTTTCCGAGTGTCATCGAAATTTCTTTCATTATTAAGCCCTATTTGTTCTCCAAAAGCTTTGTTCTGACGTCACTTATAGGACAAATTGAATGATAATTGCTTGTATTTTACGGTTACGATGAATAAATCGCACTTCATTTTTTGCGGTCAAATGAATTTTTTGGCATGGATGCATCTTACCGTCACCGGATAAGTGAAAACGGGTTGCGTGGAGAATACTTCGCTCTGCGCTCATTAGATGGTCACCCAACTTTGGAGATATTGACGATATTTGAGATAAGCACTACGATTCCTGAAGCAAGCCATCATTAAAATTCTTAACATGGGCTACTGTGCTATCTATTTTGCTGAAACCAATACTAGGAGTTGTTTTTCAGTCTGCATCTGCTTGTGATTGTTTGAGTGGTACACCACGAAAACGGCACCCCATCGACAGATCTCGTTGAGTTAGACCCAGCACAACCAACTAATTTTTCAAGTTCAGGGGTGTATTTTCACATACGGAACGTTGATAGCAAAACAGCATGGTGAAATGAGCTGCCATAATCTGATGTTTTGAATCCAGCAAGCAATCTTATTCAAGAATCTGTGACCACCTGGATAGCAGCTGAGTCTAACTTGACAAAGCTTAGCTCAACTGTCTCCTGACTCACAGGCTCCTGAGGACAGTCTTTGTGCAATTTTAATGGTTGTGAGCTGTTATTAGCAGCGGACCAACTAGAAGGCTTGATGACAAACTCAGATAGGGTGACTTATTGGATGTTGGAACCTTCGAGATGGCATCCGAAATATTCTTCCACTGTTCCTACTTGACTCAATAATTATGTCACAAGCACCACCCCCATATCTTTATTCCTGAAGCAACCTGTGTGGATTGTTAGAATGTAAATCGGTTGCGAACCTGAAGAAGTCCACAATGACTGAGTCGGAGCCTTGGAATTATTGATTAAAAATCGCATGCATGCCCATCTAGTCCAGCGAGACGGTTGTCAACACCACATATATTAAGGTGCCGGGGTTCAACCCAGGAGCGAGCACTAGTTCACGGTGCCATCACCTTCCTTCGACTTTTTTTAGGAAACCGCATTCGAGATATTGAATACTGGCGCAACGAACTACTGACCGAGATTCGACTAGCTGAACAGGAGACAGACAGATGCAGAGTAAGTGTCAACGTTTGTCCTTAATAGTCATGTATAACGCAATAAGTTTCACTTCATTCATGCCATTAGTTGTTCTTTTGATGGTCATATAAGAAAGCTTCGGTATTATATCCCCGTCTTTCAACGATAACTTGTACGTTCTTATGAGATTCCATCGGGTATCTGACCGTCTGTGTTAATTCAGCCGTTCACTTAGAAATTATTATGTTGTTGGGCGAGATGGCTCAGTGGTTATAGTGCGAATCTAGTAATCTGAAGGTCCATGGTTCGAATCTCCTGTCTAGGTGTGGCATTATCCAAGCCCTCGTGCTCCCTTCGGTAGCAGGGTAGTTAGGCACCGAACGGGTGCCACAGCTGAATGATTGTTTATCATGTTAATTTCAGCCTAAACAGTACACATCATTCGGTAAAATAATGCAATTACAGTCCACTACTGCTTTGCATGGAAGAAGTAAGTTAAAAAAGAGCGCTCACATAATTCACGGAAGGATCACTCGTAACTTTGTGTCTGTCTGAATTTAAATGTCTTGCTACTTTGAAAACGCAAAGCTTCCCAGCTTTACCTACCATATCAAATCATTTTCTCTAAGATTACCCAAGTTTCCGTCCCATAATTGTTTCTTCTCAAAATTTTATGGTACAACTCCTCTTCTATATAACAGCCTTCGTCAGCTGAATGTGAAAACAAGATCTCTGACGAATACGACTTCAATTTACTGCAACTGTCTATCTAAGAGCGAACGTATCGCTGGACAGGGTGCAGTTCGGCAATTTTTGACTGACAGAAACATAAATTTTGGGATGTTATATTGAACCAGCTCTATACGTTGGCAGTTGAAATGCGGGTTTTATTTTAATGAAAACTCGTAGTCCGATTGGGTCGGATTGCAGTGAGAGATACCTTAGATAAAATTGGTCTAAGAATTACTCTAGGTAGCTGACTCCTTCAAAGACAATAAAATCCACAAGGGCGTTATCGGTTTATTTGGAACACTGTCTACACATCACCCGGAAGGAGCGAAATATTAAGCTATCTTGCGCTATGCTGTTGTACTGCAGATAGATCCGTTGCATGCAAGGTCGTCTCACCTATCAGTTTCAGTTATCCAGACCCAAACTTTCATTGATGTATGTTCTCATTTAATACGTCATAGTTTGTGTGCCCTTGTTGGTGCATTGGGTTTACTTTTTAAACGAGACTCCATCTGCTCTACCGAGCCACGTGCGGGATATGAACGACTCTGAGGGAGTCATTCTATGATTTGGTATCGAGGTGTAAAAGACCTTACTAGCACACTAACGTCATCCAAAAAGGGGGACTCTGTGACGATACAGAACGGTGACAAGTAGCCCGTGAAACCTGACTAAGTCACTCAGGCGTTAATGGTCCTACATCTAAGCAGCCGTTTGCAATTCTGTCCGATTCAACTGTGACTCAACTTTCGTCAGAAGAGGGGCACAGTTAGACTCTACTGAACTGGTTAAGCTATCGTCTCGTTCCTCCCCTGTCATTCTCCTTTTCTTCCTGTGAACCAAACGGTAACGGCCAAAACCAGCTAACCGTACAAACATTCCATTGAAACATTGTGCCCCAAAAATTTCACAGTCAGCAGGTTTGACAACGAAGGAAAGGTGTTAGTAAGGATTGCTTTTAGATATGAAGTGGAGATATCGATAAATAAATGTTTATCGACCAGCTAGGCCAATGGTTTGGTAAGACCAAAAAAGTGATTTCAAAGCCCCAACAAAGTGGTACTTGTGATTTGACTCTGGTTTAACAGCCAGAACTTTCCAGATGATGGAACTAGGCACTAAGGAATACGACTTTAAGGGGCGATATGTTGCTTTGCCCTGTATGGGTTCGGCACCTCGCTGCGGTGTGATATCCGGAAAAAAACGAGCGACTGAATGACATGGCGAGGAGAGAGTAATCTGTAATTAGCCTATTGACTGGAGCGCATTTTCGGGTCTCTTAGTATGCACAGAAACTGTAACTCACTGACTAAAACTTTTCAATGCACTCTCAGCATCCTATGCGCGACTCGGTTGCTCACCGGACGTATGTGCACTTCTTGAGCTTTAAGAGATATAATCCAAACAGTGGTCCCTTTAGATGAGGTTACCCTGTCAGAGGATCTTCTTTAGATAGGACTTTGTTTGTGATCCCCTCGAAAACGGACTGTCCCCTGGAATGATCTGATATTTACTCTTCTTGTGCTTGTTTGCTTTGGGCGATGTAAAAGATGAATCTGTCTGATGAATACCAGTGAGTAAATGTTAAACCGACGGTCACTCAGTGAACGTTCCTTCTCAGATAAAAAAAAAATCTGAAGAATGTATTTCGCAAAACGTAACTTCATTACATTAAAAAACTCTCTCCACTAAGTAAAATTTGGGAAACGCAATTACTCCTAATTTCAGAATGGCGTCAGTGAGCTTATTTGTACAACCAAAAGTCCTGATTTTCTTATCTTTGGAAGAATCTTAGCTCACTTCTGCTTGATGGTGGGCTGTTAGCATGGACTTGATCATCATAAGAGTAGTTGCCCAATTTCCACTACAACATGAGACAGTGTAACCTTAAGGGCCATAGGAAGCCATACGTTGAGTAAACAAGATTGATAGTGAGGCTTGTCAGACAAGCCCAAATTGCTAAGGGGTACAACTGTACGTGCTATCGATTGCGCTTCAGTGATAGTACAAGCGCGTTAGCAACAAATGGCTTTAGACCCGTCACACCACATCTATGCGCGCTTCATGCCATTTCCCCATTGCCTCAAGCGTATAAACAGTGCAATAATGCACCGACGACCGGAAATTTTGATAGTTTAAAGCTATGCTAATAGTAGAAAACATTTGCGATGAAAAATACACCCCTGGTGCTCCTCCCATTGGGATTCGCTTTATGGTTTATCCACATCCTCTTTTAGTCTCACAACATAGGGATACTGCCGTCTTATTGCGGTTCGCCTCTTTATCTCTGTACTAATGAGAAAACATGAGTTATTCCGAACCGAATACTGTAAGCAGTTAAGGGATGGCTCTGAATATCCTCTGAAAAACAATTTAAATGACCCCCTTAATTACTGACCTATCTCAAGGACAGCAACCACGGTACAACAAAATCAATTCGTCACATGATTAATCCAGCGTACCGACTGCCGTTAATCCACGGCGTCTGTATTCCTCCCGTTTTTATTATACAGGAAAAATTAAGAATTCTTGGCCTCACTAGACATCACCTGACTAAGCCTCTACAGCTTGCACAAGAATGTCTACAAACCCGTGAGGGACGATGTGGCATCGATGAGGTGAAGGATTCTGTGGAACGTGCTCTGAACAAAGTGAGTTACGAACTTCATCGCCTGAATTCAAGCAATGCGTTTCAGCCTCGTTTGAGTCTTGGAATTTCCTCTATGCAAAACTGTTTTCACCTTAAGCTAGTGTTTTAACGTTTCTTTCAATGAAAGTTGATCATTTAAGAATGTGAAAGCTGCGTTCGAACATCTTATATAAAAAGAAGTCGTGCCATATACTAAGCACAACCGCGAAGCCAGTATGAAGATATCCGTAGTTTCGGTTCATTTCCGCTGTTCTTCTTGTAGTTTGGACGTCGAAACTACTGCACTAGATAAATAATCCGTCATCAGCGCTTTCAACCTTTTCGTCTGTATCCGGCAAAATTGCTATCTTCATGTAAACCCTTATCTATCATACCTATCGAAGGAAACCTAGTGCCCCGTGTGTGTGCCAGATATATAGATTAACGCAGACCTGTAATCCTTTACCACTCGGTGATACAATTTTATGCTTCTTCTCAGCGAGCTGAATTTAAAGTATTTTCCGACCCTATTTACCAAAATCTCAACCAGTTACCAACGAGTTTCTATCGATCTATAACTTCATGCTTTTTGAAATGTTGCCCTCAGTTGTGTAAGCCTAATTTCACCAGTGGGAATAGCTGAACACAAGTAATAGGTAAATCGTTCCCAAATAAAACAGTCGATGGACTCATGAAGTCTAAGTGCCTGTATTGGAAAATGCTATGATAAGAAAAAACGTCATTGTGGTTAAAATACCAGTATTCGCACTTCGGTGTCCCTGCCAAGTAAAATGGGAGATTGTGAGGGCAGGTACCTAGTAATTCTCAAGGTTCCAGTTCGCCTACTTGGGCCTGCAGTGTCACACAGATATATTCCTCCTCCGCACTATGATTTGTGACCGGAAAGGAGGGTGTCCAACTGAGGTTATAAAGAATTCTGTAAAACGTATTTGAGCCCGAAACGCAGTTGCTTCATTCGACCTCGTAGAAGAGCAAGCCCGCATTTCACTCACTCGTTGGAGTAGGTTGACACGCATTTCTGGTTTGAATCGTTGCCACCTCACTGTGAAATTCCCAGAAGTTGTTGGGATTGCCGACGTGTTTCGTCAAAACTAATTTACTAGGTACATTTCCGGATGATGGATAATGTTAGGTGCCTCTGTGCTGTTACAATTTCCCTCCCCAACTCGTGATTTGAGGCAAATTTCGCTTCCACAATATTCGAGAATACCGTGCCAACTGAATCATAAAGCGGCCTGTGTGCAACACATTCAGTTGTAGAATACCATAAACCAGAGATTCAGTTGAGTATCTCGTGAAAACCAAATTGAATTGCAAATCAGTGTATTTCTCGAAAACAGTTCAAGTTGGGTTCAAGTAGATCATGAGGTTGGCAGAAACTCGGGACTGCGCCTACCTGATGAGCCCCAAGAAGGGCGAAACCGGATGTGGGCTGTCGAACAGTTTTCAGCAACCTTGTGAGTAGCTTCCTTTATCAAAATCAGTCTTATTAACTAACACCCCTTTAGAGTACGGTCAACTAAATGCTGAGCTTACAGAACAAGTTTGATATCCACCTGGTACTCAGCTGACTAGTGTACGATACTTGCTACTTCTTTCGGTCACGTGCCGTCACGAAGAGACAGGACCTTACCACTAGTGTACGTTGCTACTTCTTTCGGTCACGTGCCGTCACGAAGAGACAGGACCTTACCATGGTGTGACGGTTTGCGCACCTCAGCGATCGATCCATCTATACTGGAGAGTGTCCCGCGACACTCACAGAGTCTCTCACACCAGGTTGGTCACTGGTTAGAGGTCTGACGAACACAGTCTCCTGGCCCTCCAGGTTGGGGGTTGGAACATGTTCCGTAGAAATGGTAATGCATTTGCATTTCTCGCCAAACACCGCTGCCTTGCGGTTAGGCTTTTGAGCCAAAGGCTTTGGTTGAGGACCCTAATCGTCCTCCTGTCTAGGTGTGGGCGCCCTGGCAGTATCCCAGCCCCCGTACAACCATGGCCTACACAACTAACAATATTCTCATGCCACATCGGCCGTCGCGTGGTGCCATCAGCCGGGTCGCCTTACTTGCTGCATACAGCAGGGCGGGTAAGCGAAAACAGGCTACTGCTGACGCCTCCCTTCTTTCTCCTTCACATACTTTTTCTTCCCCCTCTCCCCTCCCCATTAATAACTCTCTCCTTGTAGGCCCAGGCGCTTAGGATGATTACTCCGTTCGTCATGCATCGGTTTTGCGTGCAGCATCTGCTCGTCACATGGTGCCGACATTTTCAGGAATCTCCAAA